TAGAAATCTTAACCTGGAAAAAATATAAATGAAAAGATTAACAAAAAATGACTCAATTATTAAAATTCTGTGGCTTTTCATGCCAATTTATTAAGTTACATCTATTAAATACATCACTGCACACAACATTTCATTCACAGAGATTGGAATTGACACAATAGTGCCCAAAGACAGGGCCACATACCAGTGAAGTACATATACAACAACATACAATATGCAGTTTACTTTGGGGTTATGATGTTTTAACATAAAACATAAAATCAGTAAAAGCACATGGGCTTAACACTAGAACCACACAAACACCTACATTTGTTTAATCTCTACACCCCTGGAACAAAAGAGGGGAAAGTTACATATTTTAATGACTTTAAGAATAAAATCATTTGATTAAGTTCAGCTAGTTTATTTACTTGAAACTCTTTGTCTGCTTCCTCCAGAATACCTGCACCACAAGAGTGGAACATGCCTGTCATGTTCCCTCTTGTCTGGGCTCTCCGCCTCTAGGTAAGTGCTGCTGTGTGACTGATGTTCAAAAAAAACTAATTCATGATTGAAATGGAAAGGCTGCTGGGCTTGCTGTCAGGAGATATGAACTCTAGTCTCAACACTGTTACTAGCTGCTGTCTGGCATTGGGATATTTGTATCATCTTTCTGATCCTGGGTTTCATCATCCTTAAAATGATGTAACTTGCAGCAGATAAACTCTACAGAATACATCAGCTCTAAAACGCCATGATGTTCTCTATTGGCCAAGATCTCAGAGTTACTTGGTGTTGGATACTCTCTGAACAAGTGGGAAATGGCATCTACTTCTAGGCTGGAAGCCACTGAACTCTTGGCAAGGCCTCCCAGGTTCTTAATGATCAAAAAGAACACACAGAAGTTAAACAATGGCATAATATAGATTTAGAAAAGACCCCAGATATCATTTGACTCTATCCCTCCTCCTACCTCAGTGAAGAAATGGCTTCTACAAAACCCTTGAGATACACTTTGCTTGAATACCTTCAGGGACTGAGAAATCAAAATATCGGGAATATTCTGGTTTAGTGTAGAAAATTCCTTTGGTTATCAAGCCAGAAATGGGGACTCTGTAACTGTAATTCATTAGTCCTATTTCCTTCCTTCAGGGACACATGGAAGAAGTCTCCTCTTTCCTTTTATATCATCCTTGATAAACTTTGATAAAACTTTTAAAATCTTCCAATTTCTCCTCCAGTTATTAAAATGAATACCATTTGCTAAGAGAAGAGGGTAATTAGATGTGCTTAGTAATATGATTCAAGAAGATAGTATCGTAGCTCTAGATCTGCCATTAACTCCTTGTTTGGCCCGGACAAGTAACTTATGTCTGGGCTGGTATGGTGTTTTCTTCCTAAAATGGGATGATGTAAGGGGTTAGGGGGGCAAAAGTATCTCAGAGCTTGGGAAGTTGCAAATATTGTTGTTGGAGTGGGACAGAGCATTCTCCTTAGGACCAGCTGCCAATATGATGCAATAGCTGTTAATATCCAGGATAGTGATGCACATTAAAAAAAAACTCCACTAAAATGGCAAAACATTTCCAGGACTCTGGGCCCTAGGAAAGCAAGAAATCTTAGGGCAAGAGAGTTCTGCATGTGTTTTGCAAGGTGTGGACTATAAACCACTCTGTCCTGAAGAATTAATCCCCAATGTCACAATCATGGAAACATGACTGGGAGAGGACTTGGAAAATACCTTGCAAGAGAATGTTGGCAATGGGCATTCCTTGTGCACAGTGACCTAGTTGAACTTCTATGACCCAGAGGAGTTATTGACAGAGCACAGAGGTGGAATTTCCTCTTGGGTGATGTAGCTTAGATTGAAATGGAGCCAAGGGCTTTGGCAAGCCCTGTATTGAACTGAACCAGACACTTTTAGGATGTGAAAAATGTACATCACAATGAAATCAGAATTTTTACATTCTACTGTAACTTAGTTAAAAAATTTAGAAATTTTAGTAGCTTAAGCAATTCTATTCCATCAAATAGATCCAAACCATGCTAGGGTCAAAATGCTAGTGACCCCATGCATTTTGATCATGGTTCCTGCATTTGCTTGAGGGACACAGGCTCTTCAACGCACCTCTGGATCATCCACAAAGTTCTAATATTTTCGAGGGTATGACTGGCCAAACTTGAGTCCAGCAGGTAATAACCTCTCTCCACACTTGGCTTAATAATGGATTCTACCATAGAAAACAGAACCTTTGTTTTCTCCCTGTTTATTTATGGAAAACTGTCCTTAGGTAGCTATTTAAAAAATCACTTATGCTAAACACAAATCATTTTGTTAATGGTCATCCTTCATCAAATGGCACCCATTTTCAAAATGAAAAAATATCTATGTGCTTAAAGTTAGCTAAGCTAATTAATTAGTTAATATAGCCAAAATAAACTAAAGGATCTATAGACAATGGAGGTGCTGAGCAGTTAGAATGAACACATCTGAGACTAAAATAATTTTTATTTGTGTCTCCAGGATGAGTAGGTACTCAGTAAATGTTTGTGGAATTGATTTGAATTCATCCTTTTGAGGGACATTGAACCAGGGAAGCACTTGCCTCCTAAATTAACTATTTTCCAAAGTATGTAAGTAAGCATGCCCCTTCTTCCCTCCTGTGCCTTTGAATGCATTTCCCTTACTCCTTTTAGGGGACTACCACATGGTCTTAAAAACCATTCTCCCACTTCATTTTGAAAACTAGGGCACAAATATTTACCCTGGAAATAATGCCTCGGACTTGAGTCCTACTAGACATGTTTGGTTAGGTCTTTCTGAGCAGTAAAAGCTATATTATGGAGTATATAATAAATTCAGCCATGAAAACTTGACCACAATACATTCTTCAATAAACAAGCTTATGATAGAAGCAAAATAAATATGTGGTAGGATATTTTACAAGCCTCAAGTCTTTTAGGATAGTAGGAAATTCCAACTTCTTGTATAAACGTCCCAATCCACCAGATGCCTGGAACAGCGAGCAGGTTTGAAGACCCTGGGCACAAGGGCTCCTTTTTAGTGGAGAAGATGAGCAGGCTACCCTGGCCTCTTCCATTGCAAATCCTTCCCCGCACCCCAGGCTGCTTGGTGTTCTCATGCAGATGCAGACAGAACACTTTATCTTCTTAGTGGGGGTGTTCATTCTGATTATGGAGCCAGTCTAGAGTCATAGATAAAACATTCGTGATCTACCAATAAATATTGTCCCGGGGTTGGTTGAGGAAACATTCTTTTACCAAGCTGGTTTTATAGTTACTGAGAAACCTTTCCTTTCTGCTTTAAGAACAGGGTAATTCCTCCATCTGAGATGCCCTTTCTGCGAATCCATCTGTTGTCCGCCCACCTTCTTTCAGATCTCACTTCCTCCGTGAAGACTCTTCTGAACCAGGTGGAGGTGACCACACCCTTCTCTGTGCTTTCACTGAGCCCTGTGATGACTGTTTTGAGAAGATGAAGGCTTTAGAGCCATAACCTCCCAACTGAGAAACTGGAGATTTTTATTTAATTATAACTCAACAAACATAGATCAAGTACTGCTACACCCATTCTTGTGCTCAGGAGCCCCATCACAGTCAGACACCCAGTCCTGTGCCTCTGTAGAGTCCCGGCAACAAGGGGAAGAGTGATTTCAGTGCCACGTTTGCCTTCAGACCCATCGTGAGGTCTCCCACAATAGGGAGCATTTATAATAGAGTCCGAAGCACTCAAGGTCACTCCCATGTCACACTGACATGCTCTCAGGCTTCACAAAAATGCTTAAAAGTTAACATGTTTCATCCCCATGAATTCATTTGATCCTGGGAAACAAATTGATGGATTCTTGCTTTACAGATAAGTCAACAGAAGCTAAAATAGCAGAAATGCCCCACCCACCTTTGACATACTCATGCAGGAAAATTACGTAGGTTATAGGATATGAACCCATTGATATACAGGAGGGACCTCCTCAATGGTCCAGCCTCTTCTGATTAGCTAATCCCATATTTAAGCCCCTTTGAATATTTTAAGAGAAAAATACTCATATAACACTCTACATATAAAGTTGTAAACCAAAATTTGAAGACAACCTAGGTTAACTTCTCCAGATTTGGTGATTAACAACCATGCACCCCACCCCCACCCCAGAGAGTAAGTCCATGGTCTCTGGGCATCAGTCAGATTTGTTGTATTGCTGGTCTAGTTAGCTGGAAATCTGTGTTCAATTTTCTTGAGTGACCTAATCAGTTGGATATTGTACATAGTCAGGAGTACTCCAGATACCTTATGTAACACTGTCAGGAAGCATTTTTTTTAGCACTTGGAGTTAGTCCTTGGAACATGTTGAGAAATGTTTAACCAGAAGCCATCTAGTGACATCCATATAAGTTTTGAGTTGAGTCTGTTTTGTCCTTCATAGTGTCTTCTGGGTAATAGTAATGCCCAGAACATAATAGATGCTCAAGAAAATTGTGGTGAATAAATGCTATTGTTGTATTTTTGATATGTATGTGAAAGTCACACTTGGTTGTTTTGATGCCTGTGTACACAATAAAGGGAAAGGTAGGTTTTCTCATTTGCCACAGAGAGTATCATGAAAAACAATTTCTTTTTTTGAGAACATTTATGAAACATACCAGCTTTTTTCATTTCTTTAAGGCAAGGCATGAAAGTATACATTTGCAGAATCTGATTAAGGATTTCTCCTTTGAAAGTTTTACACTGTCTTCTAGGGCTTTGGATTTTATTCAAGGCTCCTGAACTGAAGCAGATGCTTCATAATCAAATTGAACAACATCTGAGCCCACTGGTGACAAATGTGTAGTAGGAAATTGTGGAAATGCTTCAAGTAGGTCACCCATTCATTTGATGACCAGTGTTCTAATGTTTAGTAACTCACCACTCTTCCAAGCAACCACGATAATATGTCTGCTTTCTTCTGCCTTTTTCCAGTTAGTATTCTCATCAGCAAGGCATATAAAATGTGAACTCTTGGGCCCTAAGTTGCATAGCTAAACTACAGTCTCTATGGAATGCTCCAAGAAAACCCCAGGCTATAAGTACATATCAATGAAGAAAATTAGGAATTAGGAGGAGAGGACCTGTTTTACACAATGATGCCTTCCTTGCCCCTATAGCAAGAAGGCTCCAAAGAAGGTTTTATCTTCTTTTGTGTAATCCACCAAAGAGATGTCACTGACGTTCACTGTCAGCTTGTCCCCCTCTTGCAAGGAGAACACTGCCCCTAAATAAATGGGTTGGAACCAGTTGCTGCCGATTTCACACACTGTCTTGGTCCCCATGAGGAGCTGGGTAGGCTCCGGGTAGCTGTCTGTTACCTTGGTGATGACCACAACTATGGCATCTGGCTTGTTCAGTCGGCTCCCTTGGCTGATTTCACCACACTTGGATGTGGTACCTCGAAATGTGATCTGGGAGTAAACAAAGTAGTCTCCTGACTCTGGGATCACCAGGAATTTATTGGTGTAGTTCATCCGGTTCTTGGTGAAGGCCAAGCCAAGTTCGTGTTCCCAATCCAGAGCCGAGAACTGACTTTTTAAGGGTTTTGAGGGCGTTTGTCTCACAACTACAAAGACAGAAGAGAGGATTAATTTGCTTGTGCTAGAACCTGTGAACTTTGCAAAGAAGTGTCTCATGTTATTTTTAAACAGTAAAGTGATTGATTAAAACCAACAGCTAACAAGCTACTTGAGGAGGACTGAGTGGAGGACGTGTGCTTGGATGTTTGTTTAGAGAGCAGCATCTTAGGCTAGTGACCTGGGGCAAATTACTTGGTTTCTCTGAGCCTGAGTTTTTTTATCTGACACTTTTAAATTTTTCTTTGAGTCCTGTGGTCCTGGAAAAGAGTGAAGGTTAAGAAATCTCATCACTCTTTTTGTTTGGGAAATCTGGAAAATTGGCTTACTGCAAAAACCCACTCTTGCCTGTAAATGACCTCGGATTGACGAAGCCAGCCTTGTTTGCTATGACATGGCCAGTCAAAAGACCCTCCAAATTCCTTTTTTTTGCCTAACAAATAATTAGCTGAACCTTTTCATTCCCCACTGATTCAACAGAACAAATGCTTGTTAACTGAACTGTGATTAAACTTCTCTCTTTCCCCCAGGTCCCCAAACTTGGGCCCACCCTTAGCCTGAGTCAGTATAAGGTTCTGCTCCTGTCATATCAACCTTTCTTCCCCTGTCCCTCCACCTGTTTTTTTCTAGTTTTGTTTACTCCTCTCTATGAAAGAAAAATGCCTTTAGCCTAACTCTGGAGACACTTGGAGACTTAGGATCAGAGGTTTTGTCTTATTGCAATAGTCCCTTTCCTCCACCACATTCCCACCCAGCAATAATCCTTTAGCATCAAGTCTCTTTCCTTATGAAGTCAGGATTTGTTTTTTATTTGACATCCCTGTATTTAAAAAAAAAAAAAAAAAGGGGGAGGTGATAATATCTGTGGAAAGGATGAAGAGAAATGGTAGGTATAATTCCCTAGCTATTAGGAATATTCTCTAGACGACATTCACTTTTATTAATTTTTTTGTTTCAGACATGCTCTGCTACAAAGACAGGCCATTTTAGAGAGAGTCAAATGTTTTCTGTCACCCCTTTTTAACACTGTGGTCCAAAGCAAGTGAAATACAGATAGTAATTAATTAAAAAAATCCACATGCAGAGATCCAGAATATTTTGGAAATGCTTCACAGGGCCAAAATACGTAAGCTGACAGTAACTGATTGGCGGAGTGGAAGGGACCAGGGCTCTGCATCACCTGGGCTTCATTCCAATCCTGATTCTACAACTCTAGGTTATTAATCAACTATGTAGTTCCTTCTCCTCTCTGAGCCTCAATTTCCGGTCTGTGAACTGGAGATAAAGCTCCTTCCTAGTCTTGTTATGAAGATCAAGTGAATAAAAGAGGCATGTACATTTTCATCACAATGACTGGATACAGCATTACTCAATACATACTTATTTTTTTGCCAAAATAAACTAGCGTCTTTCATTTCGACAGATTAAAAAATAAGCTTATTTCATTTTAAATATTTTTATATGTTTCTACATTTGCATTATTCACACATATACATTATGTAGAACATATGGTTAAATGCTTTCTTGAAGTATATCTATAGCAAAAGAATCAATAGAATTAAGCCACATTTCAAATAAAATAATCTGCAATAAACTAATACTTTTCAGGGAAAATAAAAATATTTTAATTTCCTACAACTACTTTTGAAATCCATAGTAATCATCATTATGTACTGTCAGCCACAGTTTGGGGACTGGTTATGTTTAAAGAAGCATTTAGCAATCTTCACACCTGGTGGTTGACTGGAAACCTGGTTTGTGAATTTTTCTAAAGCATCTTTTCCATTGCTGACTAGACTATGGTTTCTTCTGCAACTATGATACATGCTCAGAATGTGTGTGGCCTCTCCTGACCCCTACACTAAGTGGCATCTGGAGAGCTCTGTTGATTCTTTGCAAAATCTGTGAAAGGCATTTTTATTAGTCATCTATGATAGTGTTTACTCCTTCTTTGTTGGTGATGCAGTAGATTAAAGAAAAATCTCCCACGTGATAGAAAAGCAAAAATTATTTAGTCTCTAGATAAGTTGTTTTAAATTGGTGTGCAATTAGCTCTGTCGACATAGCAGCAAGTAGGAGTTTGGGTAGGAAGTATGTTGTAATGGAAATAGTGCAGTTCTGAGAGTCAAGCTCAACTCTCAGCTCTTCTTAGTTATGCCACTTAGGATAAGTGAATTTAGTTGCCCAAGGTTTCCTTATTTCGCTGGGCTAATATGCAGATTAAATACATCAGAGATGTAAGATGCTGACCCCATTGTCTGATACATGTTAGGAGATCAGTAGCGCCTAGATTCCCTCACCAATTTCAACTCCCCCCCATTCAACAGAAAGAGGGGTGGCATCTTCATACTCAGTTTTTAAGACTTTTCTGCCCAGCCTGTTCAATCTCACCCATTCTTGTAGGTGAGTATGATGGAAGATTGGCATCTCCATGGTCCTAATCCTCATGCAGGACTCCCCACAAACAGGTTCCTCTTGAATAGATATTAAGATAAATGTGTTGGGCCCAAGGATATTCCCCAGTGGGTTGTGATTTTTTAAAAAAATATATTTCAGGAAGGTATGTTTGCTTTTTAACTCTAGTTTTTCCATGGGTTTTTAACATCTTTCTGCATTGTTTTGCCTTTTTGTCTGGAGTCTTAGAGGTATATATACAACTCCAAATATGAGATGCCAGGAATTTCAACACTAGACTTGGGGAGCTGGCCAACTGGTGATATTATGAGGTTGCTCTTAATCTCTTCCCATCAATGCATATTCTTGGGAAATACCTAACTGAATGTAAATGTCCAATAAATTGATTTTGGAAAGGGCATAGATGGATTTGATAAATCGGCAACTTAAGGGATTGTTCATCTTTGACCAGATTCAGAATTACATAAATCTCAGTGTCTGAGGAAAACCATTTCTGAATGACAGAGTGTGTGAATAAAAGTGAGAAACAGTAAACAGAGGAAGAGGGCTGATAGCATCTGAAAGATAATGCCCAAGAGACCTGGGCCTTTGGAAGAAAGAGCTGAAAATCCTTTACTGAGAGGAGGAATCTGTTACTAAGGGTATTCCCTGTTTGAAGCTACTAGAATGAGTTTTTGCAAACATGTTGAAATAAGTCTCAGGCCCATGGCCCATTGTCTCCTGGAAAGCACACCAGGGAGAATTACCTGTCAGGTGTGCTCTTGGCTTATCTCCACCAGCTCCAGGAGGTACATCTGTAAGAAAAGGAGAAAAATCCACTGTATGAGTCAGAGGGTGACTGAAGTGAAAACAACAGACAGCATTTGGGGGAGTTGCATGGTGCCTGAGAGAAATATGCCTCTTTTCCAGCTTGGCCTAGCTTCCTTTTTAGCAAGTTTTTCTTTCTTTCTTTCTCTCTTTCTCTCTTTCTTCTTTCTTTCTACAGGGGAGACTCAGCAGAAAAACACAAATGAATCTTGGCTTTGGGCAAGTTATCTAACCTGTCTCAGGCTTTGTGTTTTCATCTCTAAATGAGTACATTAATCCCTACCATGGATGGAGAGTGTTCAGAATAATTCCGGGCATATGGTGGGTACTCAATAAAGCTCACCTTGCCTCTCCTTTCCTCGTACTGCTTCTGTGGGAGCAAATTGGCCTTTGCCGTCTTCATGGTCCCTTTAACCATATCCATTGAGGCATCAGGACGGACTAACAGAGTGGGGTGGGAACCACTCTGTAACTCCATGACTTTGACAGGTCCCTTTCCCTTTCTGGTCCTGTTTCCCTATCAGTTCTCCAGATGACTAAAGAATTTCCTTTTGTTTTTTCAAGATGATCATATTGAACAGTTGTGTTCTATCTATAGTGATAAAGATGATGTTGATGAAATGAAAAAAAATCATTGTATTCTTTTGATGTAGTAGGCATTGTTCTAATACCTTTATATAAACTCTGGGAGGCAGATACTATCATAACCACTTTTATAGGTGAGTAAAATGAGACAGAGACAGGTGATAGTAGCCCAAAGGCCATCAAGCCACAGGCCCTGCACTTGGCCATGGCACCGTTTTGCCTCCTCAGTGGCTGGAGAGGCCCCTCACTTCTCCTCTGGGTTTGCATCCCTCTGAACCTCCTAAATACCACAACTATTAGATATGTTTCACAAGAAAAGGCATCAAATATGAACATACTTACAAACTCGCTGATGTGAAGGTCCTAATTCCTGTCCTTTTGGAGTCTATGGAGAAAGAAAGATATGGTTCAGACCATCTGTGCTCCTTTAGATGCCAGTATCCACACAGGTGCCCAAAGCATTGGTATGATTAAGATGCTGCTCCTACCCTGCCTGAGTACTTTGAAATGAAGGAAATGGAAATGAGGGTATTTGATTGATGAGAATCTTGCACCCAAGCTCTCTCCTTTCCTCCTCCTGCGCCCTGACCCTTTTCTCTCTTATGCTTGTCTCTGAAGCTCAACTTAAAGGTTCTGTCCTGAGAGCTTTTCCTTTTCTATTCTAGGGCACTCCAACATCTTGTCAATGATTCTCTTAATATTTGAACAAATAATGGCACCTGCTTCATTTTTTTTCCACCATAATTTAAAAATTGTAACTACTTAAAAAATGATACAGAAAAAGAAATAATCACTATGATCTCCTTCCCCTCAACCCCTTCAATTCTTTTTTGCTTTGTTGTAATGTGCAATGACTTTTTCTTCACTGCAATCCTAGTTTGTAAGCCATTTCAGATACCACATGGTAATGGGAGAGTAACTGCTTTGGAGGCAGACAGACCTGAACTTGAATCCTGCTTCCACCATTTATTAACTGTATAATCTTGAGTAAGACACCTTTCTCCTCTGGCCTTTGGTGTCCTTACTGTGAAATGGGAACCATAACATCTCTTGCCCTAGATAACTCCGAGGTTTGAGGTGAGGATCAACTCAGATGAACAAAATGAACTAACAAAATAGAAACTCACAGATACAGAGAACAGAGTGAGAGCTGTCAGAGGGGAGGGCACTTGGAGGGCTGGGAGAAAAAGGTGAAGGGATTAAGCAAAAACAAAAACAAAAACTAAAACTAAAACTAAAACACCACACCTGAAACAAAACTCATGGACACAGCCAACAGTATGGTGATTACCAGGGGAAAAAGTGGGTGGTGGGAGGCAGAAGAGGGTACAGAGGAGAAAAGTGGTGACGGAAGGAGACTTGACTTTGGGTAGTGAATACACAATACAGTATTCAGATGGTGTATTATAGCATTGTACACTTGATGCCATTCCAATAAATTCAATAAAAATTTTAAAAATATATATGAGTTAGTTCAAAGAAGGCATGGAAACTGAGGAAATCACCATTTACATGCCAGAATGGAAAGCTTAGGAGAAAAACTAAGCTCTTGGTTTAGGAATAAAATTGCCATCTTACATTTTACAATGTTTCCAAAGAAGCTTCTCTGATATGATTTTGACTCAACCCCAAGTCTTCTGATTTGGTTCTCGTAATTGCTCAGTCCCCACCAATGGTAATCCTCATGTCACTGTGGACACTTGATCAGTTTTACATCTTAAAACCCGTATGTGTGTGTGTGTACCTGTGAATAAGGAATTGTGTGTCTGTGTGAGTATAGGAGAATACAGCTCCATTGGTGGGAAAGAGTGTGTTTGCACCTGTGTCTACATGTGTTCATGGTGTGGTGTTTTGTGCATGGATGTCTCTACATACATGTGTATGACCATGTGGATGTGGCTGCACCATTTCTGAGCGTAGGTTTGCGAACAGTTCTGTGATAATAGTGATGCTCTTAGAACCCACATGGTCAGGCTCTTTTTACTCCTAAGCCACACGACATGACCTCCCCTGGAAGCCCTCTTGAAGACAAAGATCTTGTCTTTCTTTGATTGACAAACTGACCTCCCAGTCTCTCCAGCTCCCTCTTCTCTGCTTCCTAATTCTTTTAATGGTACCACCACTGCTTACCCTCAGTTACAAGGCCGAAAATTTGCTTTCTTTCTCCACAAACCCAAACTGTCATTTCTGTTTCATGTTGTTTCTCTTTCCTGAATCCACTCCAGGCCTCAGCATACTGCTTGCCTGGATTCTTCCACGGAGTGCGTAACAGGTCCCTCCTGTTTGAACCATTGCATGGCTCTAGCAATGTTTGTTGAAAGTTGGGAGCTTTGCTCAGAAGTCAGAGCCAGAAAAGGCCATTGCATATGCCCATGGGCATGCATGTTTGTGGGGTGCTGGAAGCCTGCTATCATCTGCCTTCTTTTCTCTAATCCATCTCCTAGCCTGCTTTCAGAGGGCTTTTTCTACAGCTTCACTTTACTGAGGCACTTATCTTGGCATTCAAAGTCCCGATTTATATCTCAGTCCCCGAGGTGGGGGAATCTGGGGAAATTACCGTGACCTGAGTCTTATAGGCCCCACAGGTATTAGCCAGGTGATAAAAGGTAATAACCATTTTCAACAAGGCCAACAGCTTGTGCAAGAGTAAAGAGGCCCAACAGTGCATAGGAGCAGGTAAGAAACTACAAGGATTTCTGCTGCCAGATGAACACACAACTATACACTTAGCGTAGGATCATGAGTACAATGGTCTTTGAAAACCAAGACCAAATGATATGACTACGTGTCCAGCATCAATAGCTTTGATGGGCTTGGGAGGTGGAGATGAAGCCTAGAAATGAACTTATTTTGTAGCCTGTCTCCTTACTTGCTTTTGACAGAGCTGATAAAGAATCAGTCCCTTGGCAAGACAGATAACTGAAGGTGGGGTTGTCAGAGAGAATGGGGGAGAGCTTGGTTGCGTCCCCTTGTGTAGGGAATGACACTTACCCTGATGGGTCTTTGACTTATTTATTCTGCTTAGGAATCTTCTTGAACACCGTGATTATTTGTGGTGAAGCAGACACTCAGCTAAGAGTTTGGAACATTCCTTTTGGCTCAGAATCCCCTTGTCATTAGCATGAATTTGGGATGTGAGCACATTTCCCTCTTTGCTCTGCTAGAGTTCTATAACTTGGGCCTCAGAATGCCGCTAATATCTGGAGGCTGTGATAGTGCCAGTTGGCAGGTGTTGAAGAACACAGCGTCATTCCCAGAGTCCCCAAGAAGAACGTCAGCTGGGACTCTTTTTCCAAGGACAACGTCTAAAGCCTTCCATTGCTGTTTCTCTTAATAATGACTTTATAAAGAGAGGAAGATTATTGCAACAGGAAGCAAGAGTGAATGAAGAGAAGATTACAGAGGAGGAAATAGTATTATAGTTTATTTGGGGAAAGTTTTATGCATTTGAGTTGGCGCAATGCCTGCTGTCCAGATGGTTGCTAGCAACACCAGGCCAATAAAAGACCTACTACTGTCATCTAACCCTGACTTATCTCCATGGCTTTTGGATTATTCTAGGGTACCCAGGAAATGGTGGCTCCTGAAGGTCAGTGCAACATTGGCTTCCAAATCTAAATAGACACAGTATTCAAGAGCACCCGAGAAGAATCTGATATTTTTCCCCTTTAAATGCCTTCTCAAACCATTGGCTGAGAACCAGGGTCCTATTTTATTTTCCTTCCTGAACATTTATCACTCCCTGAAGCGATATTACTTCGTATTACTTGTATTTTTTGCTTTTCTCTCTCTAGTAGAATTCAGTCTGCATGCAGGCAAGGACCTGGTCTGTCTGTCTTGCTCACTGCTATATTCCTGGTGCCTCAGTCAGTGCCCGGCACCTCCGCCGGATTATCCCATCAGTAAAACATGCTGATGCGGGCATCAGAAAGACAAGCAGAAGAGAGAGCAGAGGGTGGAATAAGGTTAAGTTTCCATGACTTTAACCAGAGTTTTGCAATCCAAAAAACTAGGAAAGAGAACTTTTTATTTTAGAATGCATGCAAAGTTTTGAGTTTTTGTTTAGGTTTAAAAAATTTATTTATGGAGAGCTGGGCAGCCAAGGTATGGCTTGGGGCATAGCCATGGCTCTAGCAATGTTTGTTGAAAGTTGGGAGCTTTGCTCAGAAGTCAGAGCCAGAAAAGGCCATTGCATATGCCCATGGGCATGCATGTTTGTGGGGTGCTGGAAGCCTGCTATCACCAGCATGTATTAGCCTGAGCAAAGCAAGTGGGGCTTTTTACCCCTGAGTTCCTGTAGGCCATGGAATCTTCATCTGATTTGATTTTCTTGTAGCCGTTGTCCTGCTGCAGCTGGGCATTGTGTGGTCTGTCAGGTGAGACTGCTGGACACTGACTGATGCATGTGTAGACTTTAACAGGTGAACAAAGGGATCCTGGAATCCCAAACTGGAAGCTGCAGCACATGTTTGGGACTCACACCCACAGCTCTCTTGCCTCCCCTTCCTTTGCACGTGCACAGTTTACCTACACAACCTTTGCCCTTTGCCCAGGGCCTGACCTTTTGGAATGAGTTGGGCTTCTCTTCCAGTATTCCAGGACTTCCTGAGGCTACAGGAGGGGCAACTGAGTGCTTGAGTTTTGCAATTCATGAGCACTTTTTATCTCAGCTATCTGTTTGTTTCCTCTAGATGACTCTGAAAAGGGATTATTATGATTGCCCTCCAGCAGAAGAAACAGCTTGAGTGAGATAAAGGGCTCACCCAGGGTGGAGTGGGTAGGGAAATAATGTCTCTTGAGCATCAACTCCACAGCCTTTGCATTTTGGATATCTCCTTGCAGAACACTTAGCACAGTGCTGTGAAGACAGTATATTAGCCTTCCCATTTTATAGACAGGAGTGTAAGGCTTAGGGAGGTCAAGATCCTTGCACATCCCTGCATCCCTCTCTCCATTCAGCAAACACTTAATGAGTTCCTTCTGTGTTCCAGGTATAGCTAGGTGCTCTCAGGGGAGGAAGGAGACTAGCATTTGTTGAGCTCTTACTATGTGACAAGCCCATTTCAGGTGTCATTGCTAAATCCTCCTGACTACCCCAGAGGATGAATAATGTGTTGGCATATACCCAGAGGCAGACTCGCATAGTGTTTAGGAAGAATAGTATGGTAGATTTGAACCTCAATATCACACTCTTAACTATATGACTGGGCTCATGGCTTTGATAAGGGCAAGATGATTTAAGAGGAACAGCCTAGCCAGAGACCCCTCCCAGGTTAACTGTTAATCATTGCTTATCTGTTCCTGTAGCCCGTTTTCACATCCCTTCCCCCGCCTGGGTAGCACATCAATCTCATCAATCTCCCACCTGAATGCTAATCCCTTCCC